GGGGTCTCCTGGTTCTGGAGAGGTCCAGTCCAGTTAGTCCAGGGGGTCTGTGACCCTGGTTCTGGAGAGACCTTGTCCAGTTAGTCCGGGGGTCTCCTGGTTCTGGAGGTTCTCCCTCCTCCTGGTGTCTTCTGCGAGATGTCAGGAGTGGCTCACTGAGGGGACAGGTCTGAAGGAGCTGCTGCCTATTGGTCAGTCCTCTCTACCCACACAGCTGTGACTCCTGACCAAGTTCAAGTTCATTCTGCCCCCCCGAGCAGCGACGCCTCTTCTCTATCTCACTCTCACACCAGCGAGACGGCGGGGCTCGATGTCGGCGCCGTGCAGCCCCCTTGCTCTGTTCCTCTCCGCCAGTGAGTACCTTAAATCATCAAAGGTGTCCTGTCATGACATTTATTTCAGGAGCGTCTGTATCAACGACAAGGGCTGATATGATGAGGGAGACTCGAACACTTAAAACATGACTTTGGAAATCTCCAGGCTTGGGCAGGGGGAGAGAAGTTCTTGGCGCTTTTCATTCTGTGTGAAAAGTGTGGTGTCTGGCGACGTTGTAACCAGGCCGTTCTGCAAGATAGTGGGATTTCAAGATTTCCCTAAAGGGAGAGAAAATGCACAGAGACATTAAAGTGCAATATGGGCTCTTAATTTCTCTGTGCAGCTTAATACTTTATTACTAAAGATGTACTGTTCACAGTTCATGCAGGAAGAACAGCTGTAGCCAACTTTAAGCTGCCTCCCGAAATGATCGGAGAATCCTCTGTGCTGCAAAGCGTATTCGATTTATTTAGCTTTTTCGCTGGCTTTCACATTTAGGTCCTTGAAGTAGAGATGAATAAACGTGTGTTCATTCAGAAATCGTGAGAAACTCAATTGACGCAAACCGACAGAGGCCACTCAACCGTTTGTGCGACGTGTTAAAATAGTTTTGTGCACCTGGAATTAATTGCGTCTGGCCAGTGCAAAACGAAGGTTTGGAATACTTAAGCAGTCGTGACTTTTCCTTTTCTTCTTTCCTATGGATGATCTACTTACTTCCCTCTGTTTCTGTTTTGCTTTGAACGTGTGGAGGTGGACGTTTTTTGCAACAAATTTGTATTGCTACTTTGAAGTGTCATCACTGCGAACTTTAAAGTAACACAGCGTGGAATCTTTGCCAGGGTCAGAATCCTTTCGCAAGGCATTATATGAACTCAGCTGGGTGTCCTGTTGAGTTCAGCAGAATCTGTGCCGATTCTGGGCTGAAAGCAGTTTTCCCACTTTCCCCTCCCTAGAAGAATGTTCGGGATCATGCAACGCCATTTTCTCTGCCGAGTAGCCAAATGCTCTCCTTTCTCGAACCTCTGCAGGCGCTGCTGTGTGGGCTGTGGTCTCTGGAGCAGTCAGTCTGGGGGACACAGTCACCCTGCCCTGTGACCTCGAGCTCCGACACGAGACCACCTGGTTTCTGCAGCGTAACGAGACCCTGGCTCTGAGGATTATAGCCAGTAAGAACCAAGTGGAGCAGCAGACTGAGCCTTTTTACTACGTGATAAGACCGGACTCTCGCTTCAGCCTGGTGCTGAACCCCTCCACTAACTCCTCCAGTCTGAGGATTGAGGGGGTCACAGAGACAGACCAGGGACTGTACTACTGCACCACCAGAGAGAGGGGAGAGGTACAGATAGGAAAAGGCACCAGGCTGAGGCTCCATGGAGAAGGTGAGAACAGTTTATTTGTGAAGAGGGATGATCTGTACTGCAGAGAGAGAGATTCACATCGGAAACAGAACCAGACTGAGGATCAGTGTAGGAGAGAACAACCTGCTTACTGACCTCACCAGTCTGATATCAATGTAAAAAAATAAAACAATACGTAAATTAAGAAAATAATTTGCTAATTTAATAATTTAAAATAAAAATCTGAAAAACAGTCAAAAATTCTTTTTAGAATTATCATCGAAGGAAAATGGCGAACATCCCTCTGGAATCGGCTGGTCATGCCTGATCATCCTGATCGTTGCTCCTCCTCTCTCCACCCTGATGACATCGTGCTTCGTCTTCTGTCTCTTTGACAGACCAGGTATGCATTCACTCTGCACACTGTCCGTGCGCAATGCTAACAGTGATTTCAGAAAAATATAATTATATGCTGTTGGTCGACCAGTAGGTGGCGCTCTTGACAAGAATTTCCAGTTGAGTGCTTCAGTAAGGTGACCAGGGCCGGTGACAGGTCACAGCTGCTGGTCATTTCCAGAATGCAGTTCTCTCTGTATGAGTTGGTGCTCTTGTTCGGTACGTGTGTGAGGTTTGACCTCTAAGCACACCACAGCTCTGTGAGAGCTGAGACTGCGAAGAAGCTTGGATGCTGATAGCTGCAAACCTTCAAGAAGTACTTTTGTGCACACCTTTTTTTGTCTTTGGTGTAATAAAAAAATAAAATAAGAAAGTAGCCTTTTCGCTGCTGCTTTTAATAAACAAACTAGTTTAATAGACAAGCTCTCCCAGGTGGGGTTACTGGTGCAGATTGATCGCTGTGCGTCTCCCAGGTGGGGTTACTGGTGCACAATGATCGCTGTGCGTCTCCCAGGTGGGGTTACTGGTGCACAATGATCGCTGTGTGTCTCCCAGGTGGGGTTGTAAGGGATTCAAGTGGATCCCTTCCTATATGTTGGAATCTTTAAAAATTAATTTTATGATATGGTATGCAGAAATTATGTTTATCAAATCATTTTAGAACCTATTGCTGCAGTTGTAATATTGAAACTAGGTGAATTCTTTGGGATTCTTTGCCATGAGACCTGTTTATTGCTTAATTATTAGCCTCCAAGGGCTCCTGATCTGACAGTGGGGTGAAACACTGACAGCGGGAGCAGTATTTTACACACAGCTGAGACAGACAGGTAACTGTGTGTACGTTGCAGAGAGAGGAATGGAGGAATTATGTCCAGTCTTATGAGGTTTTGTTTTAATTTCCAGGCCGGCCACAGGACAGAAAAGGAGACAGAAGCCTCGTGCAGGTATTTTGTTTTTGAGTTGTCCTTCATAAGTGGCAGAATGCAAAATTAGAATATCTTGCGCATCTGTTTCGGCATTTGGATGTTAAGTGATACCAAAGCAGTTCAAGCACATGTTGCAGTACTGGTCTTCTGGAATAAATTCTTCAGACCCCAGGTGTGTCACAGTGAGCACAGAGAGAGGCCTGTTTCACAGTAATAACTGATGGCAGCTGTCAGCAGCACACAGAAACCCCATCCTCGTACAGTGTCTCCTAGATCAGTCCTTGGGCTTCTGCTCATTCTGTCTCGGAGGTCCTAGAATTGTCTGGCGGTTACAGCTCACAGTTCGCAGTGGGATACTGTGACCCGGACATCGCAAGCCTCTGTCTGCTTTCAGCGGCAGGGACGCCGACCGGAGGGCTATGAGAATCCCAGCATTAATGTTCTGCAGAGGCACAAGACGGGACACGCCGCGTCTTCCTCGCTCGTCTCCTGAGCCCAGCCTCTGTGTGTGTGTCCCCAGGGGAAGGGACGGCAGCAGGACGTGTACGAGATCATGCGGCCGGCCGGGGACCGAGAGGCCGGAAGCGGGCGGAGCGATCTTCTCCCCCGGCCGCGAGCCCGGAACCTGTCAGGGTGAAGCGGCGCTTGTCTTCCCCCTCTCCTCCCGCCTCTCTGCCTGCCCGCGCCCGCTGTGCTGTTTCACAGGAAGCTCTCTGAGGCTGGGGCTTCGGGGGGATATGAATAGAAGAGTGGTCACGCCCTGCCCCACCTCACTGCTCTGCTCTTGATGCTCCCCCGCGGGTGGACCAGGCACACCTGCAGATCTGAGGGGAAATGCAGCCCAACGCGCTTGTA